TATTTTTATTTTTGGTAAAGATGGGTGATTTATATGTTGGCCAGGCTGGTCTTGAACTCCTGGCACAAGTGATCCCTACCGCCTTGGTCTCCCAAATTGCTGGGATTATAGGCACAAGCCACCATGCCTAGCTCTAATCTTTCTTTGAATATTCTCTTTTTTCCATTTTCTCTATTTTCTTCTTCTGGAATTCCTATTGGTTGGTTATTTGAACTTCACCTATTCTCTTAATCCTCTTTTTTATATATTTCATCTCTTGTTAATTTTGGAATGCATTCTGGTTGATTCCAAATTGTTAATACATTTTTCAGCTACTTACTTTCTGCTACTCCCTCTATCAAATAAAGTTATTTTTATTTTAATGATCAAGCTTCTAATTCCAAAGGTATCTAGATTTTTCATTGCAATATCCTTTTGTATCTGATTATAGTTATCCTAAAGCCCAAGTTTGTATGCTTTATTAACCCTATTTTTTCAGGTATAAACTTTTTTTGTCAGTCACTTCCCCCATGATATTCCCTTTTTTCAAATATTTGGCTTTTCTTGGCTCTGAGTTCACCTTTGGATCTGAAATTCCTTGTTAGCCTAAGTGGCCTGCTTGCAGAAAGGGGTAGGGCATGCAGCCATGACTTGGTGCACTTGTGTAAAGTGGAATGAAGAAGGGACAGGATGTGCTGCTGGAAGGATGAGCCAACGGTTAGCCTTCCAGATTTGGAAGCTTCCTGTTATCCTTGGGAGCTGTTAGTCCCTGGGGCTTTGTCTTGCCTCACACCCAGGTGTTCATCTTTTACTGCTCCTGCCCATGGGAAGATACCTCTGTGACTCACTGTGTGACCTAAGGTGAACATTTATGGCTGTCCATTCTGTGAGCCTCAACCAGTCATGGTCAGTAGGTCATGGACCACCTCCTGCTCCCAGTTCACAGTTCTGAGTTTGAAGCATTCCTAGAGCTGCTCTCACCTTTTATGGCAGTCCTCTCCCCAGCATGGTTTCCATATTTAATCTAATCTCACCTGTTTTCCATCTTTTATTGTGGTTTGTTCACTAGGTGTTCCCTATATTGTTTTATAGGGAAGAAATATGTTTGTTTAAATCATTCTGAGCAATTTATAGAGAATTGGAATAAAAGGAAACAACTACATGTGCTCAGTCTACCATCTTGAAATGGAAGTTGAAAAGCTCTTAGTATAGACTATCCTAACACTTACTACATTGAATACAATTATTTATTCCCCAATGTTGCTCCCAAGGACATAGACAAGTCTGTGATCATACTAGGATACCTCCTAGAGTCAGATATTTCATTGTTCTTGGAATTAATTTGATGAATGAAGAAATGATAGCTCAGTGTAGTTATAATGAGAATGTTAGCCCATCATTTATAAGATGATTCCTTTTACCTGCCCCTCAGTTTTCCTATCTATAAAATTAGAGAAATGTTAGAGATCATTCCTTTCACTTCAATCTTAAGGAATCCTGCGTTTCTTGTAGAGCACACGTACTAGCAATTAATTCTCTATGTTTGTTTATCTGGGAATATCTTAATTTCTTCTTTACTTTTGAAGGACAGTTTTGCTGGATACAGAATTTTTGGTTCACAGTCCTTTTCCTCCAGTACTTATATCATTTCACTGACTTCTGGTCCCCATGATTTCTGATGAGAAGTCAGTTGTTATTGAGGATAACTTGTATGCAATTAAGTGATTTTTCCTCACTGCTTTAAAGATCTCATTGTCTTTGGTTTTTGACAATTGGACTATGATATATCTCAGTGTGGATCTCTTTCAGTTTATTCTTCTTAGGGTGGAGGTAGAGTAACACATTAGAGTGAGAACAACCTTTTAAGTAATCTAACTTGGAATTCATTGAGCTTCTTGGATGTATAGATTAATATTTTCAGAAAATTGGCCAGGTGCAGTGGCTCACGCCTGTAATTCCAGCACTTTGTGAGGTCAAGGTGGGTGAATTACGTGAAGTCAAGAGTTTGAGACCAGCTAGGCCAACAAGGTGAAACTCCGTCTCTACTAATATAATAATATATTATATTTGTATAATATAATACATATATCCTTCTAGAAAATTTAAAGACTCTTTGGACTTTATATCTGTAATTTCTTTCTTCTCCTTTATCTCCCTCTTCTCCTTCTGGTACTCCCTTTACATATATGTTGGTGCATTTGACAGTGTCCCATAGGTCTCTAGGGCTTTGTTCATTCTTTTTTCCTTCTATACCTCAGATTAAATCATAATTATCTCTATTAACCTGTCTTCAAGTTCATTGATCCTTTCTCCTGCCAGCCTAAATCTGCTATTGGACCCCTCTAGTGAATTTTTTACTTCAAGTATTGTACTTTCTAACTCCAGATTTTCTATATGGTTGGTTTTTAAATAACTTTTCATCTTTCTGATATATTGATATTCTGTATTTGGTGAGACATTATTGACACACTTAAAAATAATTTTTAGGGCCGGGCGCGGTGGCTCAAGCCTGTAATCCCAGCACTTTGGGAGGCCGAGGCGGGTGGATCACGAGGTCAAGAGATCGAGACCATCCTGGTCAACATGGTGAAACCCCGTCTCTACTAAAAATGCAAAACATTAGCTGGGCATGGTGGCGCGTGCCTGTAATCCCAGCTACTCAGGAGGCTGAGGCAGGAGAATTGCCTGAACCCAGGAGGCGGAGGTTGTGGTGAGCCGAGATCGCGCCATTGCACTCCAGCCTGGGTAACATGAGTGAAACTCTGTCTCAAAAAAAAAATAATAATAATAATAATAATTTTTAGACATGGCTTCTTTTAGCTCACGGAACATATTCATAATAGCTAGCTTAAAGGTTTTGTCTAGAAAATCCAGTATAAGGCTCTCTCAGGGACAGTTTCTAGTGACTGATTTTTTTTTTTCCTGTGTATAGGCCATACTTTCCTATTTCTTTGCAGATCTCATAATTTTTCTTAAAAATACTAGAGCTTTTTAGGTAATATAATATAATTTGGAAACCCTAAAAATCAGACACTCACCCCTCCAGGGCTTATTGTCATTGCCAGTTTGTTGCTGCTGTTTCTGTGGGGATTTTGTTGTTGTTGTTGTTGTTGCTGTTGTTTTTTGTTTTTGTTTTTTTCTCACTTTCCTGGACTAATTCTGTAAAGTCTATATTCCCTGAAGTCTCTTTTCAGTTAGCTTAGTGGTCAGCTAATGATTGGACAGAGATTTCCTTAAATGCCTTGAGCTAGTAAACCTGCTGACAAGGAGCTCTGTTTGTGGGTTCAGGCACACCTTCAGTGCTCAGGCAGCTTCTAACTCAGTCTTACCCTTCACTTCCTACTTGTACAGGGCCTCAAGGTCAGCCAAAGTGAGAAATTGGAGCCCTCTTAGGTCTTTCCTGAGCATGTGGACAGCCTTGTAGATCCCCTGGAGTATATCATAACTTTCAAAGTTCTCTGCAGACATCTCATTTCACAGATCTTCCTTTTAAATCTCTGGCCAGCCTCTTGTTTGCCTCAACTAGGGTCACAGACTTAGGCAACTGTGATGTAAAACAGTTGAAACTGATTATGTTTGGCAAATGTCCCAGGGATAGGGATTTCTCATGAAGAGGGTCCCAAGTAGGGTTAAAGAATGACACGCCCTGTAAATGAAACTTTTCCAGAGAATGAAGATGTAGGTCAGATCGTGACAATAGTGTAGGGATGGAGCTTTCTGAGGAACTCCCAACTCAGTCTGTCGATCCACCCTGAGAGGCTTCAAGGCTGCTGGTTTTCAAGGCTACTGTGGAGCTGGAGGCAGAGGGATGGGAAAAGCTAGCACCACAAATCCCGCTGTTCTTGCCAAAGCACAGGAGCTCATCTCGGATAAGCATCCTTCAGATTATCAGTAGCCTCTGGTTAATTTCTAGAGCTCTGAAAAAGTTGATTTTGGTAATTTGCCAGTATTTTTGTTGTTTTACGGAAGAATGGGTTTACAGAGGTCCTTACTCCTCCATTCCAGAAGGCCCACCTCTGGTTAGAGATCTTTTCTAAAATCAGTCTTGCTAGATGTTACCTAATAAGGTAGTGTTCACTGGAATTGGGATTAAAGTACTGCCCTCACACTGAAGCTATCTGGGCACAGAAGGGAAAGAGAAGACACTTAAAGGATGAAAAAACTTGCTTTAGGACCCACAGAGTCATTTCAAAGTATTGGGGTGATTGGAACCCCTTGGTAAAAGTCAATGGGCTGCCAGGTCTCACATGAGGTCCTTGACAACGGATCCAGTACATTCTTGGGACCCACCCCTGGCAGATGCCTTTTCCAGGGAAAGGGTGCTGCCATTTTTTAGTCTTTCTTCCAAGTTACAAGTTGAATATTCATGTTCCTCACAACTTACCAACAAGAAAATTATCCATTTTACAGATGATGAAACTGAGGCTCACAGAGGTCAACTCACATGCCCCAAGTCAGAGCATTTGTGAATGATAGTGAGGGGATCTTACTCCAGAGTGAAAAGTACTCAGGTGTCATCAAATCCAGCCTCCTGACCCCCTGTTTGTCTACGTGGTGGGCAGAAAGGCAGTCTGTGGAGGTGCCTGCACTTTCAATTTTGAGCACAATAGGTTCAGATCCCCTTCATATACCCCTCTTCTCTAGGAGTTGCCTCCCCACTGGCCACAGAGAAGGGAACAAGAGCAAAGTTACAGGCACAGCTTACCCCTGCCAGACACCTTCTGAGGTGGGATCCCAGGTCAACTCCTGCCTCCAGTCAGGGGCCAGAGCCTCCAGACAGTGCCCCAAAATTAAGGGTGACAAGGGAAAGGGTGGTTGGGACTTGAGGATTGGGATTATAAGACCACCCCCTTCATGTGCTCGAACCATGGTCCTGAGTGCCCAGAGCCCCACCCAGGCCACCTACAAGCCCAGTGTGGGGAAGAAAGAACGGCGTGTCCCCAAATGCTGCATCAGCCTGAGCAGCCCACACTCCTATCCCACTCCCAGACTGCAAGCAAGGGGACATAGTCACTGCAAAATCATTTAGGAAAGGCAAACTTTATTTTGATATCTCGGAAATTACCACAGTGACAACAATACACTTTCATGTTTTAAATCATCTTCAGATGCATGGTCTCACTGAGACCTCACGACAACCCTGAAAGGTAGGCAGGGCAGGCAACTACACATCCACCCTACTGGGGACTTGTGGGAGGCAATGCAGCTTCCATGTGGAAGTTTACACATTCCATGCAGATACCTCCTGCTTCAAGTCCAGTTCTTCAATACCCCAGGAGGTACAGGGCTTCACCAGACACAACAGATACCTGAACTCCCTCCACTGTAAAGCACAGGATTGGGCCACCCCATCTCTAAACAAAGCACCCCATCAGAAGGATAGTTCTGGCGTGGACAGAAAGAGGGGTTTTTCCTTGCAATCCTGTTGGGAAACAGGTGGAGGGAGCAGCCCTCTCTCTGATGTTCTCTCTCTGACACACCTGTTGCTGATCAGCCCTTCTGACTCTTCCCCAGAAAGAAGGCAGGGCTGCACCTCCTCCCTCTGCAGGGGCTGGACTCAGATCTAGTCCCAGGCAGCCACTCACATCGGGAAGCCTCCTTCTCTCATGAGCCCTCCTCAGTCCTCAGAGCAGGAGAACCCCATGCAGGGGCTACCGCCTCTATCTGCCAGCGGCACACAGGGCACTTGGCCGTATCCCTGAAGACCCGCCAGGCACAGTAGCTGCAGAAGTGTGTGTGGCCACAGGGCACAAGGCAGGTGTTGGCAGCGTGACAGAAGCAGATGGCACACTCCTCTCCTGGTATGGCTGGGAGAGAAGACAACACAGGTCAGGGCACGTGGGGGAAGGGGTGGGCAAACCACTTACAATGTGACCACAGAGAATGACAGAGAAATGCAGCTGTATTTTGAAGAATATCACCTAGTAAGAAAATGCTTACCGTGTAATCAAGTGAAAAAAAAGGGGAAGAAAGCCATAATGTGTGTGTGTGTGTGTGTATGCACGCGTGTGTGTGTATAAAATCAAATTCCAATTAGAGAAAAGGAAAACAGAGCACAGACAAGTCCCCATGTATACACATGTCTATATCAATGACCAAAAATACTGGGAAGAAATCCACCCAAGAGGTAATGGGTGATTTCTTTTTTTTTACTTTCCTCTTTATTCTTTAATCTTTTTTTATTTTTTACAGACAGTCTCACTCTGTCACCCAGGCTGGAGTGATCACAGCTTGCTGCAGCCTCAACCAGCTGGGCTGAAGTGATCCTTCCACCTCAGCCTCCCAAGTAGCTGGGAACACAGGCATGCATGACTGTACCCAGCTAATTTTTGTACTTTTTATAGAGACAGAGTTTTGCCATGTTGTCCAGGCTGGTCTCAAACTCCTGGGCTCAAGCCATCTTCCTGCCTCAGCCTCCCAAAGTATAGGAGCCACTGCACCCCACCTATCCTTTCATCTTTATTTCCATTGGCAAAGCATTTACAATGAATGTGGATGACTTTTTAAAACAAGAACAAAATAACACTGTCTGTTCATGAATGTGCTCTTATAACTCACAGAATGGGCCAATGCTCTTGCAGGTAGAGCTGCCAGGTTGCTTTTAGCTTTCCAGTAGGCAGAGCCAAATCTTTTGGCCCAAAGCCTATGACAGACTTGAATGAACAACCAGGGCATGGGGCTTCCCTCCCTACTCCAGGTGCTGGATTCCTGGGGAGTCCTTGGTGCTTGGGAAGGCACTCACCTTCTGGCTCAGGCACTGTCTTGCTGCTGAGGTCCCACAGCATGGCTGTCGGGAGCCAGCTGTCTGTGGGATCTGAGGCAGAGAGAGACACTTATGTCCAGGACTGCAACTCCAGGTGCCCCATCCCGCTCCTGGCCCCACAGCAAAGTGTCCAGTCTCCCTTCTTTCCTGGGTTACAATGCTGAGCCCCTATCCCCAAATTTTAAGACCCTGTCCTGGTCATCCCTTCCCCAGCTTAACCCAGCTGAGAATCTGAGAATCCGTGGGGCTGCAGATTCTTCCTCCTGAGCCACCCGTCCTCCAGGCCCTTCTTCTTTGCCCTCCAGCTGCTGCCTGAATGGAGACCCTTGGCCAAGCCACATTCCCAACCCAGATGGGCATCACCATCCCCCAAGAGCCTGGACAAACACAGGTTCTGGGGTCCCACTCCAGACCCAGCAAATCGGGTGCTCCAGGTGTGAGGTGCTGGCAGCTGTGGCAAATAAACGATTTTAGCAAATCTGCTTGCAGGAGGGAGGGAGTGGACCACCACCGAGCCCAGGAATGCCAATATTTCTTGTTATGGGTATTGTCTCCCTGTGCTTCCCTGAAATCTACTTGCCTATGGGGTGGCTAGAGGGATGGCTCTCCTTTCCCCACCCACTGACTGAGAAACTCAGCTTTCTCCCTGCAGGCACTCTCCATGCACACCTCTAGCCCCACCTGTGTGTTCCCTTTGCTTGCCACCCTTGTCTCTAGTGAACTCCTATTTAGACTGCAAAGCCCAGCCCAAATGTTTCTTTCTTTGTAAAAGGAGGTGGACATTTTAGCAGATGTTTGGGTTAACAGATGGTAGGAGTGCTGGTCCTATCTACTCATCATTCTTAGGGACAAGACTGCCCTCCCTACGACTGGGCCTTGTCTATCTGATGTCTCCAGTGCCCAACTTCACAGCTAACACTGGACAGGGGCTGAATGTGAACCTTCTTCCTGTGGCTCTAGATTGGTGTGGGGTGCCACTGGAGCTCCCATCTCCCCACCTCCCCTACAGGGTCCCCACGGTCGCCTCACCCAGCAGCTCGATGGCCTTGGTGGTCCCGTACACGTCCATCACGGCCCAGAGCGGGGCGCCCACTGGCACACCCTCGCGCAGTAGGAGCCGGCAGCCGGCGTTGACCTTGGCGAAGAGGCGGCCGCGGCGGTCCACCCAGAAGCGGACCACGTCCCCCGCAAGTGCGCAGCCCTCGGGCAGCATGGCTGCCCAAGTCGGGGTCTGCTTCTCCAGGTCCGGGCACATGAAGGGTGGCAGGCTGGGCGCGGAAACGCACGCGGGGTCCAGGCGCGTGAAGCCCACGCGGAGGCCGCCGCACCAGCCATGCTCCTCCCGCAGCACGCGCAGCGACACGCGCTCGCCTAGGCGCACCGGCCGCTGGCTGAACACGATGCCATCATGGAACGTGGCTCGCCTGTGTGCGGTGCAGCCACTCGTGTCCAGACGCACTTGTGTGCCTTTGGCCTCGGCATGGAAGCGAAGTGCGTCTCGGGGAGACTTGGCGTCTGTGGGTTGGGGATGGAGAGTGTCAGTGCTGACTGGGTCTAGACCCACCAGCTCCCCAGGGAGCCCCCAGTATCTCAGAGTCCCCCACACCTCGGAACCACTTTGACCTTCCCCTAGGGACAATTTCCACCTCTCTCGTTCCTGTAGGGATATTGTGAAAACTATAGGAACTGATGCCTATTTGTGATCTGCCTGCGACCAATCTAGTAATGGTTATCATTGTTCAACAGAAAGATGAGGGTTAGTCAGGCATACATATCTATGCGTTTGTTATACACATTTTTGGGGTTTTTGTTTTTGTTTCAGAGATGAGTTCTTGCTGTGATGCCCCCGCTGCTCTTGAATTCTTGGCCTCAAGTGATCCTCCTGCCTCTGCCTCCCAAAGCGCTAGGATTACAGGTATGAGCCACTGTGCCCAGCCCATACATTTATTCTACATGCACCTAAAAATAACGGAAGAGGAGACAGACTGATTTGCTGACTGTGGTCCGCCCTGGGAGACCATCCGCTGTTCCTTCTCTGTTTGTCTCTCTGGCTTTCCCATGGAGAACTGCATCACCTGTGAAGGCCATGGCCCCCAGTAATGGAGTCGTCCTTGTCCTGGGAGAGAAAGGGGTCTGGCTGCTCCCCCCAGGGTGTGGATGCAGGCTCAAGAGGGAGTCCCAGGCTAGCCCCTCAGAATCCTAGGTGGGGTCCAGCCCGGCTCTGGCATGGGCTCTGAAACCAGGGGACTTCCCACATACAGGACTCTGCCTGGTGGTCAGACGGGGAAATCACCTCACTGAGCAGCCCTTCCTCTCCACTCAGCCTGCAGGAAGCTGGCAGGGCTTCCTACCCCACAACTGCCTTAGCTGGCCCTGCCCCTCCCTTCCTGGCCTTGCTCTTTCTGGGCTGGGGGAAGGAGGCTGGCTGGCTGCTTGCTGTTGAAAATTAAAAGGTGAAATCAATTAGAATTTGAGCTAGACCCCAACCTACAGGAGCAAGGCCACTCCCCTCCCAGATCAGGTCATACTCCCCTGGCAAGGCAGGCACTCTGACCACATACAGGTTTACACCTTCTATCGGAGCCCAGGGCCAGGAGGCTCCATCTGATCAGGCACCAGGACACCTTTGTGGTGAGTGACTCTGTCTCTGACTTCCACAGGCCAAAGGTAAGCCTACCTGAAGTGACCTTTCCCCAGGATTAGGGACCAGCTCTCACTGTGGCCTTGGGACTCTCACAGAGCCCAGTGTATCCACATCCACCCCTCGCCCGCGCCCCACCCATGCCTTCCTGTGATGCACTCATCCTCCCCCGCCCCCTCCCATCCCGGCAGGCCTGCCCAGTTCTGGTGCCTCAAGGCTGCACCTAGGCAAGAAGTCCTGGAGCAGCACCCATGGAGAGCTGAAGCCAGGCTGGGGGCCCTGACATCAGTGAACCTGTCCTTGTACCCATGGTTGAGGCTGCTCCATGGAGGGCAGTGAGGCACCAGCTGGGCCATGGCTGACACCCCCATTCCAGACCTGCCCTGCTGCTGGCCCAGGCAGGTTACTGCCCTCCGGTGCACAGCCTCCTCACCCACAAACGGCAGTGATGTGCATTTCCAGCAAGACCAGGCATCCTGGGACACCTGTCTGGAGTCCTGTTCACTGCCTGCCTGGCCAGGCATGGGGCTGGGGTGCCAGGGCAGGCAGGGGCTCTTGGCATAACCTGCCACAATCTAGGAGGGCAGAGGCCAGCCCTTCAGCTGAGTCACGGCCCATCCCTCAGATGGGAACTGGAGAGAAGCCCTGGAGTAGGCTTGGCAAGAGACCCAAGCAATGGCCCTGGACAAGGGGCCATGCCAGAGATGGTGGCTGGCATCCGAGACCTCTCCACGAACTACCACACCCAATCCTGCTGCCATCCTGAGAGGCAGATGGTGGGCAAGTTGCCAGCCCCGCCCCACAGCAATCAGGGGCAGAACTAGCGTCCATGAGTTCTCCCAGTCTCACCCATGCAGCCCCTACAGGGAAAGGGGCACCCGTTGGGTCAGGGGAGCTGGAGCCCTGTCGTGCTCTGCACCATGGGCCTCGATGGAACCAGCAGAGATGAGCCCGTCGTGGTTGGGGATGGAGTTTCCACCCCACCCTCTAGGCAGGTGCCTGGGACATAGGCTGGCTCTATGCAGGACTGGCTCTGGGGGCAGGGAGGGGTGGAGGATAGGAGGTGACCTCACTGGTCCATCCACTTCCTGGAGGGAGTAGGGAACTGGCTAACTGGAGGCAGTCCAGGGAGGATGGGAACTCCCCCAGAATGGCCTTGAGGGTACAAGAGGCCCTGGGAGCCCGTGAGAAGCAGGCCTTGCCTTGAAGGAGAATTTGACAGTTTGCAAAGCTTCCCGCTCCCTGCCTCGGAAGCCTTCGCAGCAGCCCTGTGTGGAGCTAAGTCCTCATGTCACCGGGGTTGGTAGGTGCTGAGAGGACGGGGTGGCTGAGTAGGTCACTAGAGGCCAGAGCACCTGAGCAGTCTCCTCTGTACTGCTCACTCAGGCTCCGCCTCCTACCTCCATCAGCCCCCTTCCCCTCCACTCCACCCCCACCTGGCAGGGGAGTGAAAGGTCCCTTAGGGCACAGCCTCTTGTCTAGGAAGACTCTTGGTCTGTCTATATGGTCACCTTGGCTATTCAATGTGCACCACCAAGGCTAAGTGGGGTTGAAACCCACTCTCACCCCACCAGCCTGGCAAGAGCCTGCAGGGACCAAGTCTACCTACTTCAGGCAGGGCTCTGTGCCTGGGTCTGGAGCAGGATCTGGGTGGCCTGACAGATGTGATCGACACCTCCACTCCGCCTGACTCCTTCCATGAGGCCTGCAGGGGTCCTCCCACCCTTTGACCCGGGCAGCCTGGGACACCCTACTCCCAGGGTGGGGAGTGGTGGAGGTGGGCATGGGCCATGTGTGGCTCTCCAAGCAGGCCTCTCCCCAGCAGCTGGGCTAGCACACGGCTCAGATCACCCCAGTGCCCAAGCACCCTCACACTCAGAGGCGGTTGCTCTTTCTATGGGTTCCATTTTCAGGCAGGACCCTGAGCTCAGAGAAGCAGAGTGCCCTGCCCATGGGGGATCTCTCCAATTACTCCACCTGCCCTGGGGTCCCCATTGCTGAGGGGTGGACTGCCTGCCGGCAAAACAGGGCCTTTGGGGTATCTCTACTCCACAACATTCCAGATTCTCTAAGCTCTTGGAATTTGAGTGGGGCATGGGCACCCACTTGCTCAGCAAGAGCATTTAGGGATCTCCATCCTCACCACTCCTCCAGGCATCAAGCATTTTGGAGTGCCAGGCACCCCTAAGCACTTTGCAGCCTCTTTTCCGCCTCATTCCACCTTGGGGAAAGTCCTCAGAGCTTGCGAAGGCTGTGCTAGTCATCCATGTTTTTGCAGCCAGAAAGTGGGGGATTCGCACTCCCACGCCACCTCCTTTAAGGCCCGTCATTTCCCTGCCAAACACAGTTACTGTGACAGCATTAGTGGCTCTGGGCACATCTAGCTGCTGGTCTGTGAGCCTGTGGTGCCCACCAGGGGACTGAGGGCCCTGAGCCCAGGCTTCCAGCTTTTTACCTGGGAGGGCAGGTCTAGAGATGCACAATTCCAGTTGCTGGTGCTCAAAGACCAGGTCCTCCATCTCCCATCCGCACATGGCCCTTCCAGTAAGGGACACCTGTGGCTTCAGGTGAGGCTCTCAGAGAACCTTTGTGCCTATCATTCTTTTGATTTGTGCATTTGATTTGATAAAGATCCCTATAGGCCAACAGGCGTTGTCCTAGACTGCAGATGTGGAAACTGAAGCCCACAGCTCAACTTGGCAGAACTGGGACCCCACCAGCCCCCTAAACTTTACGCTGACCACACCTCTACTCCAGCAGTGACACAGAGCGCCCTGCACTACCTGTACCCCCGGTCCAGAGACCAAGCTCTGGCCTCACAGGAGGTCTACTTACTGGCCTCGAAGCAGAGCTGGGCACCCATCAGTCCAAGGTCCTCGGGCACAGGTCCCCAAGTCTAGAAGGAACTGCCTAGAGAAGGCCAGTGGACAGGTTTCCAAAGATTCAGCAGGTCTGCTTTTTATGGCCAGAGATCACGTTACAAGGTTGATGATTAATTCGATGGTGCTGTCATGAGTTACTATATCCAGGGGATTTCCCGATGATTTCTCCTGACTTGCAGCCAGACCTGCTGTAGCTGGCCAGCCTAAAAGAAGGAAACAGGGACTGGGGACATGCCTGGGAATTTTTTACGGTAGCCGTCTCTCTCACTTCTGACCAATGTCAAGCTGGCTGTGCATTGTAATGGTCCGAGGATGTTAATAAATACCTAAGCCCAGCCCCGCCCCCAAAGGCTCTGGTTCCACTGGCCTGGGGTGGAACCCAGGTATGTGGAGTTTACAAAGCAACCCAGATGATTCTGATGTGCAGCCAGGGTGGAGATTCACTGCTGCAGAGACCCTGGCACACAGAAGACTGAGTAATCTATGTTGCTGAAGCAACTGAATTGCATTTGCTGCATCCCAGGGCCTGCGAAGTTGTGCCCCTCCAACAGAGAGGAGGGATAAAGCAGACAGAAGAGGAGAGGAACTGATGGTCCCTCCAGCCTTACTAGAGCTGGAATTCCACTTCCCCAGAACCACTACAAAATGCAAATAGGCCCACAGACTGTCACACCAAATGTCTAGCTCCCAATGTGTTAGCACTGGAAAGAAGGCAAAGGTATTCTGGCCCCTCCATTTTTATTTTTGTTAGGGAAACTGAGGCTGGAGGGAAGGTGGCTTACTCTAACCTAGTGTTTCTCACTCACGTCACAATGTGCTTTCAAATCTCCTGGGGATCATGTTAAAACGCATTGACTCAGAAAGCCTGGGGCCCTACCTGGGATATGTGGACTCAACTTTTTTTTTTTTGAGACAGGGTCTCGCTGTCACTCAGGCTAGAGTGCAGTCGTATGATCATGGCCCACTACAACCTCAAACTCCCAGGCTCAAGCAATCCTTCCACCTCAGCCTCCTGAGTAGCTGGGACCACAGGTACACTCCAACATGCCCGCCTAATATTTTTGGTTTTGTAAAGACAGGGTCTAGCTATGTGGCCCAGGCTGGTTTCAATCTCCTGGCCTCAAGCAATCCTCCCATCTCAGCATCCCCAAGTGCTGGGACCCCAGGTGTGAGCCACCGCACCTGGCCAAGTGGACCCCACTTTAGGTGGCAAGCGCCTGGTGGGTTTGGAGCCTTGTGAGTGCCCTAACCCTCAACCTATGGGCTAAGCCCTTCCCAAGACCCCAGATCAAGGCCACAGTCAGTGACTGCTCTGGACTCAGCTAAGGGATGGCTAGTGCCATGTGTGTGCTCCACATTAGTGTGGGCTGCCTTGGGTGGTTCCCCAGAGCGCTGGAGCGGCGCACCTTGTTGATAAACCACATTCTCTTAAGAGAGGTATGTTTGGCATCTTATCAGAGAAGTTAAGTCTGAGCCTCAGACTGTCTAAAAAGTTACCCGGCAAGCTGTGGCCCTCAGGCCGCCCAAAGCCAGCAGGCTGGGATGGTGTAGTCCCATCAGCGGGACCTTGGGCCAGGGGCAGCTGGGGGGAAGGCAGGTCATTCTGAGGAGCTAAAGCCTGCCTAAGGCCTCACATCCAAGGGACAGGCATGCCTGCCACATACTCCATGTTTGTTTATTGAACAAACTGCCAGGGTTCAGCGCATGCCACCCCAAAATATGGCACTTTGGCACTTAAGACAACAGCAGAAGCAGGAAAACCTCTCTCACCTTCCCTTCGCCCAAATTCCCTGAAGTAGGCCATGAGGCCATGAGGCCTATCCTTACCGCTGAGGATTCGGGGACAGAAGAGAATCTGAACAGGGCTGGCCAACTCTCCTCGGTTTATTAACCCTTCCCCCTTTAGCCAATCACTTCTCCATGATGCCCACTCTTCATGAAACCAACACATAAAAATACAGATGTTCCCATTTCTTTGGGTCTTCATTTCTGAAGGTCCCGTGCCATGTAAAATTTGCATGAAATAAATTTGTGTGCTTTTCTCTTGCTGACCTGTCTTTTGTTATGGGGGTCCCAGCTATGAACCCAGCCACAGGTGAGGAAGATTCTACTTTTCCTCCCCTGCAGAATGCTACCATTCTTTTTTTTTTTTTTTTTTTTTTTTGAGACAGAGTCTCGCTCTGTCGCCCAGGCTGGAGAGTTGCCCAGGCTGGAATGCAGTGGCGTGACCTTGGCTCACTGCAACCTCCTCCTCCTGGGTTCAAGCGATTCTCCTGCCTCAGTCTCCCGAGTAGCTGGGACTACTGGCAGCAAGCCACCGAGCCCAGCTAATTTTTGTATTTTTAGTAGAGACACACCATGTTGGCCAGGATAGTCTTGATCTCTTGACCTTGTGATCCACCCGCCTCGACCTCACAAAGTGCTGGGATTACAGGTGTGAACTGCTGTGCCTGGCCCAAATGCCACCATTCTAAGTCCAGAACTTACCTGATAGTCCTCATGGCAGCTCCTCAAAAAGGTTCTGTTTATTGTAATCATTTCCATTATATAAGTGGGGAAACTGAGGCACACGATAGTTAAGTGGCTTGGTCAGCTCAGCAGGCAGGACATGACAAGCCTGGATTTGGCCCAGGCATTGTGGCCGGTGACCGTGTGCCTTGCCCGCTTCCAAGGCCCTCGCCGCGGGAACTCGGTCCCTTAGGAGCAGCCCCCCTATTAGGAACGTCTCCCCCACTGGACTGTGCGGATGCAGAGCAGGAGCTTTGTAGATAGGCCCAACTGCCTGCCGACACCTACTACCCCCTCCCCCCCACCACCGCCTCCCCCCCTACTACCCCCTGCCCTTGCCACCCCCTCCTCAGCTACCACCCCCTCCCCCCGCCCTGTGTGGCCCCTCGGCGCCCTGGCCGACCGCCCACAGCTCCCGCAGCCTTGCTGTTCTGGGCCCTTACTACCCCCTCCCGCCCTACTACCCTCTCCTCCCCTACTACTCCTTTTCCCCACTTCCCCTGCGCTCTCCTCCCCTCCCCTACCCTCCAGTGCCGCCAGCCCTGGCGGCGGCAAACCTTTGCTCGGAGAGGGGCGGGCCTGGGCCCTGGGGCGCGCGGCGGCCTCCGCCGGGCCGGGACTGCGGCAGCCCCTACTGGCGGCGGTCAGTACTGCAGGAGGCGTCGAGGGCCTGGGAGCCCCCAAAGCCCGAAGTGGCGCCCCAAAGGGAGGTCAGCGGCGCCGAGTCTCACAACACCGCAGCTCCCACACACCCGCCTCCCAGGGTGACGGTCGCCTCACCGGGACCCCTCCGTGGCAGGCGGCCTCGCTTGCCCAGAGCCCCATCACTACACACGCCTTCAAGCAGGTTATCTCTCAAGATGCCGGCCGCGCTCCGGGAAGAGCCGGGCAGGCAAAGAAGCCACGGCTGCCCCGCGCCCACGCCAGCCTGCGGCCCAGCGGGACCGGGAGCCCAGCCCAACCTGGGGCACTGTCAGGCAGCCCGGTCCCTCGTAGGCCTTGCCATTAAGGCCCTGGGACGCCTACCTATGACACTTGCCTGCCCTCATCGGTTCCCTGCCGGGCGGAAATCAGAGGGCAGGGGCTGCCCTGCCTAGAAACCAGCCCCAGAACATCAGGGCCGCGGGCGCTGTGGGCGGTAGGCCAGGGCGTGGAGGGGCCACACAGGGCAGTGTTTTGGGAGCTTTTGCACAAGGCACCAGTCCGCCAGCCTCACGGCCCAGCCACGCCACGCACGTGAACCAGGTGTGCTGGCCCAGAGCAGCGCTCTGCGCAACAGCCCCAGCCTGGAAACAAGCGAATGTCCGCTGTCGGGGGGACTGCACTGCTCAGATCCCGGGGAATGCAGGGTCCATTCCCCAGAGGCAGAGGCCGCTGTCCCACCCACACCCAGTCCAGGCCTGCGACTCCACGGGGCTGCCGCCTAAGCAGACCTGTCCCTGATCTCTGTCTCAGAGGCTGCTCCCGGCCCAACTTCCCACACGCATCAGCAGATCCTAAACTGCCACAGATGCACGCCATGGAATGCTGTGGCAATGAAAACAAATTACTGCTGCCTGCAACGACGTGGATAAACTTCACACCCGTGAGGCTGATAAGAGGAAAGACGCAAAGAATACCGCGTGCTGCCATTCATAGAAGTTCATGCAAAACCCATCCGTGGTGTTCGAAGCAGGACAAGCCTCCCTTTGGGAGTTAGTAACCGGCAGGGAAGCTGGAAATGTCCTGCACCTTGATCGGGTGGTGGTTACACAGGTATGTAGACGTACGAAAACATCTTTCCAGTCGGACCCTCAAATCATGTGTAAATCCTCATCTTCGTGGCATGTTAGCTAAGCCCTTCCAGCCCTAACAATATCATTCTGGCGGAGCTGGTGAGGTAGGGAACATCCACTCCGCCTGGGAAGACCAGCTCTGGAGGCCGGAGGGCTTGGCCAGCACTGCCGCCCAGTGGCCGGCAGCGGAACTGACCGCGGGCCTGATGCCCTCGAGGGAATGGGCCACAAAGGCTACGCCAGGGCCGCACCTGTGTCCTGGGCGCCGCCCTCAGCCACCAAGCCGGCCTGCCCACGAGCACCCAACAACTCTGGTGGTCCACTAAGCCCTCTGGGTCAATAGCTGCAGCCCCCACGGGGCCTTGGGGGTGGGAGGGAGGAGAGGGAGGCTAGCCTGTAGCACAGTACCAGCCCAGAGTTATTAATAGGTCTGGGCTATCACTTCGGTCCTGTTCCGGTCCTCCTGGGTCCTGATTCTGCCGGGCCCCTCCATGGCCTTCGTCCCTCCGGGTCCTGCCCCCTCCAGCACGGGAGCGCCCACTGGGCATGAATGGGGAGCCTGTCAGAGAGGTGAGCTGGAAGGGAGGCACAACTTCTAGGCCTGGCGTGGCTGCTCCCGCCTGTGTGTGAGGGAAGAGTCAAGTGCTACAAGAGGGCTGGGAAAACCAGGGGTGTCGTGGGTTGTTATGCCCAGGGAATGGGAGAAGGTTTTATGGAAGAAGCATTATTAAAATTGAGCCCTGAAAGATAAATAGGATTTCAACAGCCAAGAAAGGCAAGAAAGGCATTTCACGCAGAAGGAATGCACATGCAAAAGCATAGGAATGGAGACATGCACCGTGCTGTACGGTTGTATCAAGTAGGATTATGACCGCTTGCATGTAAGAGAATGTCCAAAAGAACAGTGGCTTGAGCAAGGTGTGTTCATTTCTTTTTCACATAAAATAAGCTGAAGATAGGCAGTCCAGCTAGTCATGACACCTCTGCAGTCATAGGAGACCCAGGCTTTCTCCACTCTTCAGTTCCATCATTCTAGCACTGGCCTCAAGGTCACTTCATGGACCAAAAGGGCTGCTGGAGCTCCAGCCAGTACATCAGAGGTCCAAGCATCAGGGAAGAGAAAGATCCAAATGGGCACTCCTCTAAGCTAAGCCAGCTTGCAATTAAGCTGATTTACTGGAGGGCCTATGTAATGCTTTCATTTATAGCTTATTGTCCAGAACCTTGTCACATGGCCACAGCTAGCTGCAAGGGAAACTAAGAAATGCAGTCTTTATTGGGAAGAGCAGCTAAAAATTGGGATTCTGTCATTAAGGAAGAAGAAGGAACTGGATGTTGGTGGGCAGCCAGCATTGCCTAGCCCAGGGTAGAGTGGAGCAGTGGTCCTTCAGCGTGTGGGGAGGGGGCAGCAAGGCAGCCCAGTCACAGGGGCTGTGCTGAAAAGGGGCTGAACTCTTCTGTAGCAAATAGGGGATTGCTGAAAGATTCTGAGCAGGAGCCAAGGGTCAAGGAACCTGGAGCTGTCTGCTTGGGGGAAAGAACCATCGGGCAAAAATGGAAGGATGCATGGAGGAGAAGAGAACTGTGAGGAAGTGATAAGGGCATGAGTCAGGGAAGAGCACCCCAAGAGAGCCAAGGCTAAGCCTGGCGACAGTGGGAGGATGCCAGGTCCCTGGGGAGGGACACAGATCTGCTGAGGATAGTTTGGGAGGAACACAGTAAGCACCAGATAGTTGTGTCTGAGGCCGTTGCTAGCCATCAAGTCAGGTGGCTCAAAAGCAACTGAGAATCCAAATGGAAGCTCAAGCAAGAGAACAGTGTGGGGACGTAGATCTGGGAGTGACCGGTCGTGCAGTGGTGGATGGGATCAGCCAGGCCGGGATCCAGTCGTTCAGACAGAGGACTCTGATGGACCTTTCGGGGTTACTAGGTAAGGAGAACAATGGAGTGACTAAGTGCATACATTTTTGGAGCCAGAGCTGGGTTCAAATCCAGACTTCACCACTTAATAGCCATAAGTCCATGGGCTGGCTGACAGCACTTTCTAAGCCTTAATTTTCTTGTGCAAAATGAGAATGAAGAGGCTTGCTGTGCGTGCTGACAGGAGGGCTGAATGAGTAATAAGCAGTACATTTCCACACAGGAAACTTCCACTAACCAGTAAATACCCGCTCTTACCAGTAAAACTCCCCCTACTGAAGAGGACATCAGTGCCTCTCTTGAGGCCATCACTGTTCCTGACAGTCCTCTCACTGCTCAGGCGAGATCACAAGCACTATGTCAGGGCCCTGAGCCCTCCGACCCAGCATGGCTAGGGCAGCCCCTGGCTCAGCCTCCTGCGCAGGGGCACCTGCAACCCCAGACAGGTGGGTCAAGAGGATTGTTATGCCTCCTGCCAGCAGGGAAAAGGGGCCATGGCGGGCCATGGCATGCCGTTTCCCTTAAAGGGCACAGTCAGGAAGAGCACGCATGGTCCAAACTTCAGCTCAAATCCCACTGGCCAAAACTTAGTGTGTGGCCACACCCAGCTGCAAGGAACTGGGAAGTGTAGGCTTTATTCTGGGCGATCATGTGCCCAGCTAGACAGAAATTAGAGTGGTCCAATATTACAATAGAGAAGGAGAGAATGGATATTGAGGGAAAGAGCAGCTGTAGGGTGCAGGGAAAGAGAGAGGGCATGGCATCCCAGGTGCAGGGTGGAGGAAGGCTCTGAGTGCTGGAAGACCCCATGCTCTTGGGACTGACGTGTGCCTTGTGCACATCACCTGGCACCCAGCCTGCAGGAACTCCATTATGGAGGCACTGAAGGGTGGGCAGGGAAGCTGTTGTAGCTGAGAACCAGCTCTGCTGGCCAGGAGGACAAATTGCCAACTTCTCTAGTAGAATTTTTCTAGATCCCTGGAGGTCCTTCTGGCTCCTCACCAGAGCCAAAATAGCGCAGAGAGGAAGAAAATATCTTCCTTCCACTCCTCTGAGTTTTGCCTATTGTCAAAGCTCATTGCAGCCATTGTCATTGTCTCTACTGCCCAGGCCTTAGGCAGTCCATCCTCCACAGGCAGGGAGTGACCATTCCCTAGGTCTCCTGACACCCCCTCCACCTTGGCAGAGCTAGGGCCAGATGTCCCCTGCCAGAGTGGACTCCAACCCATTCTGTCTCCTGAGAAGCCTCTCTTCTCCCCACTTGATTTTTTTTTTTTTCAAGATGGGGTCTTGCTCTGTCACCCAGGCTGGAGTGTGGTGGCATGATCTCGGTTCACTGCAACCTGCAACCTCTGCCTCCAGGGTTCAAGTGGCCTATACAAGTCACTCAGTCTTTCTGAGCCCAAGTTCCCCATCTGCAACGCTCCTAAGTCCCCCAGCCAGTGGGTGCTTTGCTGCTGACTGTGCTAGGTTATTTCTTGGTACTTGCAAAGGCCTGGCACATCATGAGCTCCCAGTGTGTGCTGACTGTCTGGCTGAAAGGATCAATGAGGCACTGAAGTCCCTTGTCAAGGCACAAACCAGGAGGTAAGTGCTTGTCCAGTCACAATGGAAGGCATTAATCACTTGATATCACTACAGAATCACTTGAACCCAGGAAGCGGAGGTTGCAGTGAGCCAAGATCAGGCTACTGCACTCCAGCCTGGGTGACAGAGACTTCATCTTAAAAAACATAAAAATAAAAATAAAATAAAGATCAAGCTCCTGAGTGAAATCTCGCAAGTCCTTTGAAAATGTGCAAAACAGAGGTACATATACTGGACAACATGCATCATTTTTAATCCACACTTCCTTGTTCTCAGGTTTGTTCTGGATCATCCAGGTGGTTAAGTCAGAGGCTACTGGGTGAGTATGGGGCTGCAGGCTTTGGACAGAACTGCAGATGCAGCATGCATGTGTTTTCGGGAGTCACTCCAAGTGGAGCCTGCAGGTGAGTGCATTAACCGAGTGGAGTGTGCTATTTTTGAGCTGAAGTAAGGAGACTTCCTGGATTCTCTGGATCCTCTTTCTTAATTTGGAGAGAAGCCCACTGCCTCCTCTTCAAGGGCTCCAGGGACTCCAGGGTGGGTGGGATCAGTAAGGCTCCCTGTATTAGTTCATTTTCATGCTGCTGATAAAGACATATCCAAGACTGGGCAATTTACAAAAGAAAGAGGTTTTTTGGACATACAGTTCTACATGGCTGGGGAGGCCTCACAATCATGGTGGAAAGGAAGGAGGAGCAAGTCACATCTTACATGGATGGTATCAGGCAAAGGAGGGAGTTTGTGCAGAGAAACTCCG